TTTTTTTTTTTTTTACAAATGTTGCTAGATTGTTCGCGGCTACCTGTCGTTCAGTCTCATTTTAATCAGTTGTTTGAAAGAATAGGTTTTTATTTAAAACTTTGGCCTTTAGCGAAGAAGAAATTTGCCTTTTACGGCCGTTTCTTTTTTTCAAAAGAATTTAATTTGAAAGACAGTTTCTTGCTTTTGGTTGGATGAAATATAATGGACGTTGAAATTGTTATATTAACCGAATACGAATGAAATGGATGTTACAACGAGTGACATTAATTTAAACAAATTATCAGTGGAAAGTAATTTCTTTTCGAACGTGAGAAACGACGAAAATGCAATGAATATTAAAGTTATTATTAATTGAACATTATGAATTAAACGAATATTAAATATTACGAGTAAAATTAATACCACAATGAATAATATTAATTGAATTAAATGAATATTGAAGTTATTGTAATATCGAAGGTAACGAATCCATGAAAACCTACTTCCACAGAATAACTGAAAATCGCTCAATTGTATGAACGTATAACCAATCCACTCGTCTCATAAATCATTCAGACAGAATCAAATTCACACAAGTGCAACCGAAATTCAAGAACACATGACCTACTTCTACTGAAAACACACGGATCTTGCGTGAACTGAAAGAAATTGTTTCTAAAATTACTTTTTTACTGTAAAGTACCGAGAAACTCTTTCGATTCAATATGAACGAACAAATCTTCTGCAGAAGAGAAACTGTTCTCTGCATCCGCGAAGAGGAAATCTCTTGGCAACGTGAAATTAGTCAATCACACGGACGTGTTACCGGTTTTCACGGCCTATAAGTCGATACCGGCGCCGATAAGAACGCGTGTTCCCATCGACGTAAACGCTGCGCTTTGGTAAACGTTCACGAAGGGGTAGAAAATCCCGTGGCCCGGCCAGGCTGCACGCAAGTTTCAGTGCTTTCGAGCAGTTATGGAGGGCGCATGCCTGCATATTTCATGAGCAAACAGACTTCAACCCCCCGTGGCATGCGCTGCAACCATCCCCTTTGCGTCTCTGTCTATCTCTCTCTCTCTCTCTCTCTTTCTCTGCTTTTTCTCTCTCTCTCTATCTCTCTCTATCTCTCTCTTTCTGTCTTGCTCGCTCCAACAACCTTTCGTCAAGACCAGCAGAGCTTCGACGAGACTGGGCCCGCTTCAAAAAGACTTGGCTGGGAGGAAAGCGCGCGCGGGGGCCGAATTATTAACGAACTTCCGCCTGGTCAACGCTAAGTCCTACCCCTTCCCTGCCTCTACTTTCTCTACTTACTCTGCCTGGCGTATTTTCTGCCCGGGGTATCGTTTGATCGAGCTTATTAATTATCGCGACGTCGAATTGATCGCGAACCGAGTTGACGATGGAATATCTGGAAATTTCTCTGCCATCGAAAAAGCTTTGTTCCGACGAGACACGTCCATGGGTACGGATTTTGGATTTGATAGCAGGCAATCAAATGCATGTTTCTTCTTGGCTTAGTAAATAACAGTAGGTTATACTAGAATATAATCTTCTTATCTCTAAACTTCACAATAGTGATAATAATTAGACGAATGGTAATAAAGATAATAAGTAATAAATGAAACAATGGATAATTATTAATTAATAAGAGTGAGAATCAAAAAATCCATAATTTTGCAAGATTTAATTATATTTGACAAGAGCAACAAATAGATATGACATACATCTAAGACTAATTCTCACATGCGTATGTACTTCCTTGATCAAAGGGTGACTCTTCACTTTTAATATCCGGTACTCATTAATTATTCTTTGTTAATTCTTTGTTGATCAATTGCGATTCTTTCATTGGATAAAACTACTTTATCTTCCCAAACTTGAAATAAATACAACATTTGTCGTAAAACTTTCGAGCTTTGAACTTTGGTCTTAAAACTTGGACTTATGTACGCATAGATAGATAAAGCAAACCAAACCAAACCAAAATCATATCGGTATAATACCAATTGTTTTAAACTCTCTTTCTACTTTCGCTGCTCAAGAGTTTCTCTCGTTCAAATAAATAGCCATTTCCTGGGAAATTCGATCGAACTAGGCATCGGTGACCACGCGGTGACGGCATCGTTTTCGCAAGATAGACTTTCAGCGTGAAAATGGCAAGGAACTTTGCGCGACGGAGATCGATAGACGCAAAAATCAGCTGTTTGCACAGCGCTGTTTTTCATCAGGCAGCGCAACATTATCGCCTCTCGATCGGATCGGTGAATGCCCGATAATGTCGCGACGCTTATTTACCGTGTCTCGTTTCCTCTTTCTCGTGTCGACGAGCAGCTTTCATCAGAGATGAAATAAGACGTTTTTTCCTACAGTTTCCAACGAAAGACTCGACAAATGGAAATTGCACGAACAGGACCAGAATCTAATATCGAAGGAGAGATTTTCACTCTTCTCGAAAGGCTCACGGAAGAAACGGGGACGTCAATTTTGAACAAATTTCGAGTTTTTTCTACGATCCTGCATGCGCTCTTCACCACTGGCTAGTTTGATATATAAGAAAATATGAAGATTTTTATTGTCTGAAATTGTGAAATTTCATGATGTTAAATTTTTCGAGAAATGTTAAGCAATTCCGGAAACTCGACGTTTTCTTCTCTCTTCCTCGTGGACCTTTTATCCGTATCCTACGGAGGTTTCTATGGAATAATTCTTTGAACGATATCGTTAATCGTCGGTTTGATAAAAGTGTTTGTATTATCGGCGCGGAGGGGCTCGTAGAGAGGATGAAAAATATGTATAGTGTTTAATTTGTTGACACTGATTATTGGATTTCTCAGTAACGTTGTTTTGGTCTGAGAGAGATTTTTATTAAACAGTTTGTTTTCACTTAGAAATGACAAAAATTGTAATTTTTGTATTCCTTGTATTAATAATGAGATTTAAGTGTGTGTTCACTGTTTTTTTATACGAATAAATTATTTATTATACAAATGGCACTTTTTATCTCACTTCTATAGAAAATTAGTACCTAATTTATTCCATTAGATTATTTATCGAACAATTTCATTCTACTGTGAAATGGACATATTTATGAATCATCGTACAACATTTTTCTACAGAAGAATATTATTTATACCAACAAATTATTTTTGGAATATTTACATTCATTGATAGGAAGGAATCACGTAAAACTATCGTACAAACACTAAATAAAAATATTAATAAATAAAATATAAACATTAAAAATATTAATACATAAAAAATTTCTCCAGCATCATTCTATAAATCTCTTTTAAATCACTCGACTCTTAATCTCTTTCGATGCTACGAGTGTTTATTATAATGCAGTTACTTATAAACTGCTTCCAAGTATATTTCTATAATTTACGAGGCTCCAACAACTCGCATTTACATAACGTGACACAGTTTCATACATTTGTTGCTTACAAAATTCTTTCAAGGATATTTCTGTTACTTAAGAAGCTCTAAAAAATTATTTAAGATAATGAAAAAATACATCAAAATTTTCTACACGAATGAGACTAAAAGAACACAAATCACCAAAAAAAAAGACCTTACGTAACCAAAAAATTTCTCTCCTTCCTCTCCTTCCGTTACTTAACCCTCGGCATCGCATTGCGAGAGAATTCATTTCAATTAGATTATCGCGAGCGTAGAAACAAAATCACGGCGTCGCGTCTCACCGGAGCCAACAACAGCCGTATCATTGCTCTCTCGAGCCGCAACAATGCGAACAATAGTTCGTCACGTGGCCTGGCTGCCGGTTAATAACGCCGTGATAAAGGAGCCGGCGATGTTTTACAAACACCACCCCGCCACGTGACCGGCCACCCCCTGTCAAAACATTCGGTATACCAGCCGAGATATTCGTACCCCTGAGGGTTCGAACCTGACCCCCTCCTTTCTTTCTCTTCCTATTTGGGTTCGTGCCTGAACGACGTTACGTCGTCGTCGCCTCTCTCGCATCGTTCGTGCACGTGGACCACGTGGTGCCGGAGATTGGGAGTCTGAGAACTCCGTGGTTCGGTGCACGAGTTTAGAGATGAAGGTTTAATCGCCTGGTAATTCGTCGTTCGACGATTCGAGTCAGGAGATTTCGAAACGTTTTTATAGGATTTTTGGTGGAGTTCTGTAGGAAATTTAAAAGTGCAGAAACATGCATTTTGAGTTTCCAGTTACTGGATTAACATGATTTTTGTTTTTTTTTTTTACGTGTTTTATTGCACGTCCACCTTGTGATGATTTTATATTAAAATTTGAGGTTATTCAGTTGCCTCTCTTCTCAGTTTTCTTCCTTCTTTTATTCGTATATTTATTCGCAATGAATATCTTTATCGTAACTTTTATATACATTTCATAGAAACTGATTTTACTAATCATGATAGTCATCTTTTATCACAGTGTTGATGAAATCCCAAAATGTTTCGTGTAATGCAAGATTGTTGGGTAATCTAAAATAGTCACGCAACTGATGACTTTACTAATTTTTAGATCCCGCGGTATATATATATCTTCGTAGTTTTATTCAACGTTAAATGTCCTCTCGAGTTGCAAGGTAGAAATGTTAAATATTACATTTAAAAAATTCAAGAAGATTAATTATTACGTTGAAACATTTTTTCATTTGACGAATTAATTTAAGGTGACACTTTCTATACGTATATTCATAAAAATTCTTCTGTGATAAGTGTCCGAATACTTTCATGAGTTCTCGTAAAAACTGTGTACACGAAGATATAACGATGTAGTGTACCATCGTTTCTCTTTTTATCACGTCCATCTCTCAAGTACCAAAACTGAGAACCCGTCACGTGCCAATGCGATTTCTCAAGAGAAAACTGCCTCTCTTCCTTGCAACTCTCTCTGATCGCTCGTGGTTGGCCACGGTTTTCCCACGATCGAGTCGGCCACCTATTTAAAAAGCAATCGTCTTCGAACGTCGGAGAAGTTAATCGCGACGCGGGTACTAGATGATGTAAACTACCCTCTCGATGATACTCATAGGTCCATCGACGTTGAAACCAATTCCCCGAAGCGACCAACACATCCCCTGCGTTACTCCTATAATTTCCCATGTGTTCTGAGTGTATATAGTGAGTCAAAAGTATTGACTTGCTCTTTTTGAAAAAAGATAAAAAATTACATGTATTTATACTTTATTATATTTATTAATATTTTATTATATTTTATTATATTTATTCTATTTATTTATATATTTTATTATATTTATTATATTTACTAATATTATATGTATATTTGAAATATTGTATATTGTATATGTGAAAAATCTTTATAGTCTATGTATATCGAAGTGATATCATATATTAATATAAAATATTTCTCGTAATTTCTTCTAATTTATTAGCAAAAAATATGGACGAGCAAGAAGATATCTTTTACGTT